GGGGACTCTACACCAGAGAAGGTGAAGACACGCAAAAGAACAGGGTTGTACAGGACTCAGAGCACTTATCCTCTCTACAGAGGAAGCCTGCCCCTCCCACTTCCTTTTTTCTGCATGGTTTCATTCCCAGTTGTTTGACCCCAGCATACTGCATGTGTTACAGAGAGGTGCTCCACAGAAGAGCGAGTGGGGATGCCTGGAGCGTCACTGAAAGCCACTCCTGAAGCACTCTGGGAGCTCAGCAGAGCAGTCACGCTCTCCCCAGGCTTCCCTGCAACGGACACTCTGGTCAATAATCTTACCACTGACGTGCGTGATGTGGTAAAGGCCAGAACAGCCACTCGGGGAAAGCGGAGACAGCTTCTCCGGTCTAGAACAAATACTTGCTTTTCATTTCACTGTTCAGAGGACACCCACTAGTTTGAGCATACACACATACACTCCACTTCACCTTCTCCTCCCCTCTTTCCTATCTATGATCAGTCATATGGATTCAAAGCAGCCAGAGAGGGGCACCTGGGTGGCTCAGTTGGTTAAGCGTCCGACTCTTGATTTCAGCTCAGGTCATGATCTCACGGTCGTGGGAGCCACAGCATGAAGCCTGCTTAAGACTCTCCCTCTCTCCCTCTGTGCCTCCCCCCACACGCGTGCGTGCCCTCTCTTAAAAACAGAAAATAAAAATAAAGTACCAAAGGCAGCCAGAGAAACACAACATAAGCCGCATATGTCATTTACAACTTTCTAGTAGACACATTTTACATCAGGCGAAAATAACTTTTAATAGCTTTCAACACAATATACCCCAAAGAGTGTAATTTTAATAGGTAATATAAAAATTAATAAGGTGTTTTATATTGTTTCATACTAAGTCTCCTAAACCTAGTGTGTATTTTCTATTTACTACACATCCCAATTTGGACAACCCACATTTCAGGTGCTCAACAGTCACACGTAGTAAAGGCTACTCCTGGACACCACAGGCCTAGAGCCCTCCAGCTGGCTCCCTGACGCTCTCCTCCCCCCATCTAATCTGCCTCCCCATGGTCACCTACCTTCCTTCTAGAACATCAAGCTCAGCCAATCAGTAAAGATGATAAATGGGTAGCTACCACCCACTGAATACACAATTATGAATTGTGGCCTGTTTCCTCCAGGCCACACTTCATAATTCATCTAATTTGATATAATCCTCCCAATGGCCCTGTAAGGCCGGTATATATGATCAACACATTTTATAAATGAAGAAATTAAAACTCAGAGTGGTTACATAGTTTGCCCAAGATTATACAGATGGTAAGTCAGTCAGGATTTGAACAGGTTCTAACTCTAAAACCCTTTTGGTTCTTTTCCCTCTAGTGCTTTAAATAAAGTATAGCAAAATAATTGATGGATTGTTATGCAGCCATTAAAATGGTAACTATAAAGGTCAAGCAGCAACATGAAAAATGTGTAAAGAATGTTAAGGGAAAAACATATCATTTTGGCATAAAACATGTAAGCAGTTGGGGGAGGCCTAGAAAGGAATAGGAAACACAAGCAGCTGATTTGAAAATGTGAAGGAAGTAGGAGTGATTTTTTTCTCTTTTCAGGTTGGTTCAAAACAAAGCAACTAACAGACCCACTTTCCACAATTTCCTATCTAAGTATGATTAAATGAAGTCCAAACTCCTTCGCACAACCTTCCGGGTTCTTTGTAAGTGGGCTACAGTCAACCTTTTCCAGGTCTTCCTCCCACAAGCCCCCAAATCTGGGCAAGCTGCATTTTCACACTCTCTCTTCTAGCAAAACCACCTCCCCCTTCTCCCTTCATTGCATCAGGGGAATTCTTAATTGTCCTTCAAAACTTATTGCAAATGTCACCGTACGATGCCTCCAATGACTATTCCACAGTGTTTTGCACATTATAACATTTCCATAATAATTTATGGATTTGATCATGTGTGCATAATGTGCCTCTGATATCTACCCTCTGACCCGACTACAAACTTCCTGAAGGCAAGGATGTGTTAACTTTATCTTAGTAACCCTAGCATCCAGAAAACCTTTGGCACATCACAGGGGCTCAGCCAATGTTTGCTAAACTGAAGGGTTTGTTCAGATTAGAAATTTGAGATTGAGAAGGACTGTTATCTGACCTTGGACCTATAGGAAAAATGCATACAGAAGGGTTATCAGTGGTGGGACCAAGGGGTCTTTCTACAGGAAAAGGACTATAACCCTGGCCCTTATTTTCCAAAACCAAATGGCCCTTAGAACAGTGTAGGCATCCCTGGAGGGGAGGGCCAAGTTGTCTGACAGAAGTCAGTGCCTCTGCAGACACTCCTATGGCTTGGGGTCTCATTCAAGAACCTTCTCGGTTTTCCTTATCTCTCTTCCCAAAACAAACACCCTACCAAGCTTGAGACATCTGGCTTCCTGCAGCCACTGAACTGCAAGGAATCTAATCTAGGAGGATATTGTGAGTAGGTAATATCTGGCCATTATCAATATGACCCTAACCTTGAGGCCAGGGTGGAAGGAGATAGGCATGGAGACATCGGAGAAGAAGAAATCAGAACACTGTTGAGTCAGAAAGAGAAGGATGGATTCGGGCCTGAAGAGAAAGCATGGGGAAGGGAGGAGGAACATGAGCAGAGATGTGGGAAAGGCAGCTAAATATGTTGAGCTCCAAGCCGGGTGTTGGGGGCTTCATGTACTTGATCAGTTTTAATCTTCACAACCCAGGGAGCGTTACTGTCCCCACTTTACAGATGGAGGGAGAGGTTATCAAAGCCCTTCTTAATGCTTTAGCACATTACGGTTTTAGGAGTCATCTCAAATTTTTATTATAGAATTGCTCTTCTGCAAAGTGAAGATGTTGGGACTCAGCAAGATCAGGTACTAAGAAACCATGAGGCTGGGGGTTAGATAGGAGCTGTGCCACTTCTCTCCCTTGGTAGACGGCAGCTTTGGGTAAAGTGCTTAATCACCGAGTCTCAGTTTACTCTCTGTGAACATGAAAATGTTAACACCTGCTTTTCTGAGCTGCTAAAAAGAGTTAATGAGATTGAGTGTGAAAGCAGCCTGGCATATAGCAATCACACAATAATTTGAGGGTGTCCTGGAACTTTTCTGCTGAAAGCCATTCACTGGAGGTCTAATTTCATACAGTAGCACTGCCACCGAGGGGGCTTTTCGATGAATGTCCTTTAAGACTTAAAGATGTTGCATTTTAACAACTCCAGACACATGTGGTACCATCTCTGCTTGTTCCTTATAGGCCGTCCAAAGTTAAGCAACGGCCTGATTTTGCTGCACTACACATGCACATCACAAGTTCAAGAGATAGTCTCTGTTGGAAAATAAAAGCAGTAATACCTATATCCTATATAGTGTTTTACAGAGCTTCACAATAGCCCCGTGGGACAAGAAATCCGTGGACAGTGCTATAGTGTTCTCAAGTTTCTGGCAATACTTGGTTTCCAGCCTCTTATCCTCCATCCAACACTAGCCCACATTTACATCACCGAAGCTAATAACTGCTCCCCACCACCTCTCCCTCACCCTGTTTATGCCCTCTCTCTGCACTCTCTTGATGATGATAATGATGATAATGATCATAATTTCTCTGTAGTGTCTCTACATGTTCACAGAGAAAGGGGAAAAGATCCTCATCAGACAATAGGTCATTTGGGACAAGAAGTTACAAAGAAGTGTTTAATAGAGAGGGAAACATTCCCCTGATCCCTCCCTCTAACCCCCCTCCCAGCCCCAGAAAGGAGCTCACCTCCAACCTCATCAGCAAGCGAACAAAGCCACAACAAAGCCACCTGCTCTTTTCCCCCTACCTGTTTCTAATTACAGCCCACGGCCAGGGCTATATCCACACAGGTAAACAATGAAGTAAAATGGTAACATAGTGACTGGAGAGGAAACAGGAGCATCCACTCTCAAACCTTCCGTGCTCATGGCAGACAAAAGAGTCAGTGTAAAACGCATTAATTAGAGTCCAGATAGAAAGCACAAACAGGGTATATAAACAAACCTGTTCCAGGACCTGAGCGCTGACAGTAGATCTTAACTGCTTAATGTTCTCTCTTAGGAAAAAGGAAAAATGATCCCGTTTAAGCGATCAGTGTGTTAACACAAGCCTTACTACCTAAGGCCAGGACTCCACTCCATCTGAAAGCATCCACTGAAAGCAATGGAGCCCTCAGAACAGGAAGTATAATGCCTGGAAGCACACCAGAGAGCAAGCACTGCTCAGTCTGCACATACACAGAACCACAGAGATAGCATCTTCCCCGAATCACCAGGAGCAGTAGCAGGATTTGCCTCAGAAGCACAGAAAGACAGACGAGGGCATTCCACAGAACCATCGCGATCGCGCTAAGAGCAGGCAGTGCGGCTGGCAACCCCAAGTCACACCTGATGAGAAGTACAGTCCCTGGGGCAGAATTCAGGTCAGTTCAGCAAACCCCCACGGAGTACCCACTAGGTGCCACACACTGCCAGAGAGTGGAGGCAGCCTCCTACCCTTAAAGAACTTGGAACCCAGTCAACGTTCAGCTTTGACAACATCTTTCTATTACACCAAAATTAACATGCATCACGACCTCAGGAAAAGATCAAAGATAAACCATAGATTTTACTCAACACAGGCAAGGAACCAGACCCACTAACAAAGGCATTAGGGGATTGACAAAAGAAATGGGTCACACAGCTGAGCGTGCACATGTGCACGCACGCGCACATTCTCAGGCCCTGCTCAGTACAGAAGGTCAGCCCTCCAATAAAGCCCCTTTCTATCATCCATGTTTATTCCTAGCGTAGTCCTAGAAGATCACAGTACATCAGCTAAGGTAGGATAGAGGCTTAGAGCTAATAGAGGTCAACAAGGATCTCTTAAGCCTCAGCTTTGTCACCGTCACCTCCCACAGTGTATGGTAACCTGTTTACAAGTCTCTCTTCTGGACACATAGTAGGTGCTCAGTGAATGTTTGATAAGCTATAAAGACCTACTTCCAAGGGCTTTTCCAAGTGCAACTATTGGATCCTTGGAGTCTGGCTCTGACGAACCCCCAAAGGTGCTCTCACTGCAAAGCAGAACTTGCTTGAGTTGGGGAAGATGACGCTTGAGTGTCTGATATCCCTGTTCCCATCTCCCACCAGGATCTGGTCTGGGGTTCTTATTAAGTGGAGAAGGCAAGCATGACACAGATCTTTCCTGTGGTGGCATCCAAGCATGAGGTGGGTGGGGGCGGGCTTGCCAAGGAGGAGGTGGGGCAGAAAATGTGAAGAGAAGTATGCACCTGAGGAAATGCTCTTCCGTTCAAGAGGCAGGTCCCCGGCACCCGCTGTGTGTCAGGCAGTGGTTTGGAACCCAGCTCTTATCCCCCTAGAGTCCTGCATTTCCCCTGTGCAAGTACCATCACACTATTTTTGGTCTGCCTGGCTACTAGAACAAAGGCTTCAGGGATCAGGAATGGTGAGGATATTCACAAGGGCACCGTCAATGCGTAAAGTAGTGCCAGGTATTCAGCAAATACCTGTTGAGTGCACCGATAACCACCTGAGACACAAAGGACATGGCAGAGATAGGAAAGAACTCTAGTCATCTAGTCAAGGAGGGAGCTTTTCCTCAGTAGGAGAAGCTGGACATTTAGGAAGCTTTGGGGCTGAAAAGACTTTGATTTACTCTGCTAGGTGACATAATCACCACCAACTCCAATTTAGCCGTCAGCTACAGTCCTTCTCCATACCCTCTCCTCCTGATGATTAGGCAACCGATGCCACCAGGTGCGTATCCACACCCCCCACGTGACTCAAATCCAGACTCAGGTTCTGGGACCCAGAATGAATGACCATCAGGCTGCTGCTTCTTGGTCTATCTGGTTCCTGGTTCCTAGACTGATTCAACCAAATGCTGGGCAAGAGCAGCCCCAACCCCAACATACCAACACATACACTACGCTCTAACAGGCTCATGCGTGCTGACAGGAAATCTGAAGTGTTCAAATGAACAGCTAAGCCTCGGAGTAAAATAGCCAACCTTAACTGAAGTCAGGGCCACGATGGGACATCAGGAGCTACCGGTCTATAATTGGCATCGGACTGCACAGTGACAAGGACAAGGTCTCTCCTAGACTTTTCTGCGAGCCAGAAACTCGTACCCTGAACTTAGAAGGAACGACTTTGATGTAGGACAATAAAACCTATCACACACGGGGATGATGAAGAAGAAAACACATTAGTAAATAATCTAGAATAATGACTGGTACAAAGTAGTTGCTCAATAAGTGACAACCACTTATTAAATTTGAATAATTCCCTTTAGGGTTACTTTCCCTTTAGGAATTCCCCTTAAGAAAACTTTTCATTAGTCTGATCCTCATTGCAGATTTATCCCTCGTATCTCAACAAAGGAGTCTTCCGAATAGGTAATATCTCAGGGGCCAGACACCCCCACTTGCTCTCTGGGCATATGCATTCACAACCTCTAAAACAGAGGTGCATACACACACATGTGTGCACACGTGTGCCCACACAGCAAACAACTCCAGTTCCAACTGGGAAGTGTGCTTCACAACCATGACAGTTTACTTTCTTTCCCATCTGACCTCATACAAACCCACTTTCTTCACCATTTCCTTGACCCCCAAATATACACATTTAGTCCGCAGCCCACCCCCACTTTTTCTCAATTACAAAGCTCTTTTAAATCACCTAAAATGTAAAATAAATACCCATCTGGAAACCTGAAGCACGCCTCGGTCCGTCTGTCAGTTCCTGCTTCTGCTGGAAGCCCCCTACCCCATCTCCCGTCAGTTTTCCCCAACTTGTAAAGCACAGTGGCCTCAGTGCAGGGCTGGCACATGCAGAGTAAGCAAACACACGGAGTCTTGCCAGCTGGGTCAGGCATCACTATTTATAGCAGGGGCAGAGAGTGGGGAATTGGAGCAGCGTGGTGAAGGGTCAGGAGCAGCGGGGGTGGGGTTAATTCTAGCCTGCTGTTCCCGGGCTCCAACAGCTGCAAAGAGGATCCCCTGCCATTCCCAGGTGCAAGCCATCCTGGTATGACTAATCCCATCACCGCGCAGGCGGGAAACTGAACGTCTTTGAGGGCAGAGAGCCTGCTATCTTGCTCATGATTGTGTCCCCAGCATGCATCTCAATGCTTGGCACATAGTAGGAGTGCAATCAGTATTTGCTGATTAAGTGAATAGATGAGCTCCTTTCCTCCTGCCTACCCCAAAAGATTATGCCACAGAGGGAAGAGGGAAACAGGTGAAGGAGACGTTAGAGAGGAATGCCTAAAAGGGCACTTTTAAAACTACTGGATGTTAAAATGTGATAGAAAAAATAATCTAGGGGGGCACCTGGGTGGTTTAGTCGGTTAAGCATCCAACTTCGGCTCAGGTCATGATCTCATGGTTCATGAGTTTGAGCCCCGCGTCAGGCTCTGTGCTGACAGCTCAGAGCCTGGAGCCTGCTTCAGATTCTGTGTCTCCCTCTCTCTCTGCCCCTCCCCGGCTCACACTCTGTCTGTCTCTCTGTCTCTCTCTCAAAAAAAAAATAAACATTAAAAAAACTTAAAAAAAAAAAAAGAAGAAAAAATTTAGGGAAATGCTATGTTACGAAAAACTAATTAGCTTTCTTTTTTTACTACAGGCCTTTTCAGAGCCTTTAATATGCTGTTATGTATCATGAATCACCAAGAGGGGGATAGAGTATGTACTGAAGTCTGAACTCACTTAACCACAGGCCTGGACTTACATGACCACAGGCCCAGACTTATTTGACCACACTACTCTTTTTTCTCAGAGTACCATTAGTGAGGAGAATTTCACCAAATATACTTTGGGAAATGCTGGCCTAAGAGGTTCCTGGAAGATATCCCAAAAGCAACTTGTAAAACAGCATGATTCCATTTTTGTAATTTAAAAAATTGCATTATGATATATGGGGTATAGTTATCTGGAGGTCATGAGACACTTAAATGTTAACATCATTTATGTTTGAAGATTAGGGGCTTTGTACTTTTTACATTAAATGTTTCAGAAATATTCAAAGTGGTTAGCTATGTAGTTATCACTTCTGTAATTCAAAAGATAAATTTGAAAAAAAAAAGCTATATCCAAGTAGGATGTGATCACTGCTATTTAATGTTCCCACAGGCTGAGGACTTCAATACCCAACAACCCCTTGGGCCATAAAAAGACTGCTCCTTGTCCCGTTGTCCTATCCAAAGAGATTCCTGTGTCTATCTCTAACAATCAACTCCTTTGGTTTGTAAGGTATCCACCAAGAAGTTAGTTTGCTGAAATTATCGTGTTGGGCACATGAACATTTCAAGACTCTCTTCTCCTCCTAAATTACTGATTTCCTAATTTAACTGATTTGTGAATGTAATCAAAATTCATTGAGATGTAGTAAATGGAACCAACCAGGTGTGTTGCAACATGAGATTAAGGCAGATATTTACAATTAGAAGAAATCATCAGTCAGTGTAAATCAAAGAAAAGTACTCGACCATCTGTTGAGTTACTCCATGTGGGACCGTGTACACATGCATTATCTTGTCTAACCTCTAAAAACCCTATCAAGTAGGCCGTACCTCCATCCCTATTCTACAGATGCAGTGATTGAGGCTTAGAGAGATTAAGCATCTTGCTCAAGCGAAGGCTTCAAAGCCAGGGCTTTTCTCCTTCCTCTGACTATTGGGTCTTGATGTTCCTGGTCACTTCAAGCAGACAGACAATGAACCGTTTTCCAAAGAAGGAACTGAGAAAGGCTGGAAAAAGCCAAAGTCATTCTGAGTCGGAGTCATGCTCTAGCTACTATGTTTTCAGAGGGAGTGGTTTGGCAGGTCCCACACTGCACGCTGCTGCATCTGCCTCCTCCTGAAGACGCGTCGCCCCCAACCCCACTCAGAGTCAGCCCTGAGGTCTGAGTGCCTGAATCTCATCCAAAAGTTGGCAGCAGTGTTTTGGGTCTGGATCCAAGTTCTATGCACCAGCATGCAGCAAGAGATAATAAAACTCTTCCACTTCTTAATCTGGCCTCTCTCATCTTCCTCCTGTTGTTACACAAGCATTAGATCGAAGGTTGCCAACTCTGGCTGCACAGAGAATCATCTGGGGACACTGAAACACACCAAGGCCTTGGAAGCACCTCACACAAATAAATATAAACCCGCCGTGGAGGCGGGGGCAAGGCATCAGTATTTCCAACCTCCTTCCTGGAAACTATAAGGTGCAGCCAAGCTGGGGAACCACTGGGTGTTTCTGCCGTGGTTTGGGGGACCATTTTGATAAAGAATGTCTATCAGAAATGCCTTGGTTACATTAGATGCCGTCGTTGGAATTGAGCATTTTGCACAAAAATGTTCCTTACTGAATTATTTTAAAGAAATTCTTGTAATTTTTAAAGCTAATTTTTTTTTCGATTCCAAAAATTATCTTAATATATTTTTAAGGAATAAAACATTTTCTCAAAGTTTCTCTTGGATTCCCTCAGATGTTTTCTGGACTTTCAGATTCTTCACCCAGAAATAAAAACCCAAGGAGAGGCCACCACTGGAAAGAGCACCTACTTTGGGGGCCAAGAGAGCCTCCGCGGTAGAAAATGAGATTCAAACAGGTTCCTGGGCCACAGTAACCCTTGCCAGTCTGGGGCCATCACCACTACTTCTGGGGCCTGGGACGTTACCAGAAGACAGGAATTTTTGAAGCACAAGCGCATTCTAGTGCTTGCACATCGGAACCTGAAATAGCAGCGAGGACTCCCTTCACAAAGCAGAGCAGTCTCCCGGGGCTCACAGACCACCAGGAAGTGGGACAGGCGTTGACCATCCAGGGCTCCCACACCCACTTAACACCATACTGGACCAGAGGGTTCTGGCTCCACTGGAACTGTCTCGTTGATGTCCCAAAGGGTTAACAGCCTCTAGCTGCCGGCCTTCCCCAAAGAGGACAGGATTTTCAGTATGGTCCCTACCAGAGGAGGAGACAGCTCCCCACCCCAACCCCTCCCCCTCCACGGCCCACCCACTCCAGGAATGAAGCTGCTGCTGCCCAACATATACCCAGACTGG